GGGGGCAATGCACCGCCAGGTGGTACACAAAAGGGGAAGAGGCATCCCTCCGAGCGGAGTCCTTCCTTGGTGCAGCATCTGTGCAAGTTTGGTTAGGTTGAAATAGCTTAACCCTGCTTAACCATATTTCAACTTCCGATGTGGCAAACAGCCCAATAGAAACCAAACACTCATGACTTGTAGTGTCAGCAAAGGATGCTAGACTAACTGACTAGCTCTGGTGTGAACCGAGATTCAAGGACTGCTTCAAGGCTGAAGATGCTACCATCAAGGCAGTGGCTCCAACAGCCATTCCACCGGCCAACTTCAGCATCTGCGAGTTCTCAGCCATGGTCACAGGATTTTACGGCTGGTCTGCTTGCTACGGTTGAGCACAAAATTTGCTGCACATGGCGAAGATTCCAAGTGCACATGCTGATCTTCGCTTTGCTCCTCAGGGCTGGCGCCTGCTGGATCGTAGTGTGGCCATGGGGTCCTCTGTGAAAATGCCACAACGCGGCATGCCCCGATCAACTTGGTTTATCCTTCCTACCCACTCATGGGAGCCCCACTGATGTGTCGCTGACCTGGGTGATGAAGCCATGCAGCAGTTGCCTTGCTTTGTGGCGAAGAGCTTCGGCCTGGCATCTGAGGGTCAAATCAACCACTTTTCCAGCAAGGCATGAAGCCGTTGAAGACCTTCCAACTTCGCCGCAGCTTAGGTCACAACTCAATTCGTGCTGAAATGATGTTCTTTTGCAATGAATCTGGCATGTCAGACTGCTTCCGCTGGCTCTTGCTTCACTGAGTTGCAGTATCGACTTCACCCCGATAAATTCTAACATCATCCCGGCCTTTGGCTTCAGAAGCGTCTTTCTCGGACTCAACTTCCATCCTTACATGTCCACTCCGTTCATGACCCAAGTGTTGTCCCTGAAACACTCCCCTCCGGAACTCCAGAGTCGTAGCTCCCCAGCTCGTAGCCGCACCAAATCGCCACCAAGATGCTTATCTTCCATCGAAGAATGTGTGACCTGAGTTACACGCTGGCAAGGACCAATGGGGATCGGGGTGCCCAATCCATCCATTCGACTTGAGAATCCCGGCTTCTCCCACCAGTTTGAATGCTTTCAAGTGTGTATCTCTGTTTGTTGTTTATTCCATGTTGTACATCATACATGATTTCGAGGAGTTTGTTCATCCATATTATACAGAATATAGGAAACGTACTTTTATATATGTAACATGTCAATCACGTAATTATTACTGTATTGCGGTATAAATGTATGTCAACAATGAAAAGCTATACAAATTGAGTAATTACAGTACGTGATATTGCTTTGTTCACCTTATGTTGCACACATATGCCTGGGCCAACTTTCCCGGTCCCCCGCGTCTGGAGCTGCCGGACGTGTCGCGCTCGTAAGAGCGCGCCCAGAGCGCTGGTGGGGAGGGGCGGACGTGGCGCCTCCGCTGGGCTGAAGATCGCACAGTGCGGCGGGGGTCATGGACCAATGGAGAGTCGAGACGTACCTCCCAACCAACGTCCCCACTCGAGCAAAGCAACCACCTTGACTACAAACATCATCTTCGTTCATCTTCCAAAAATGCCGTTTGTAGGTGAAGTTAGTTTGGTGGAGGGTGCTGTTGATTCTCAGCATGCAGCCCCACAAATTCGTGGAGAGGAGAAGTGGATGAAAGCTCATGGTGTCAAAAGCTTCTTCGGTGTGTTTCCAAACAGGGGGTTTCCAGTTCTATGCTCGAATATCGTTCTATTTTGGAACTGTGTCTGCCAAGGGTGCGCAGCGTTATGGGTTTGGTCTGGCAATGGTACACAGCGCTATTGGGCTTGGGCTGCCCTCAAGCCAGCCACGAAGTATTATATAAACAATATGGAAGTAGACAATTCATGGACTGGGAGACCGGCCACCGAGGGGTAGAGGTATCTGTATCCACAAACAATTCTTTTTAAACAACATCTACTTACTAGTAGTAGCAGTGGGAGCGTCCAATGAACATGGCCCATGGCCCTCAAAACGCCGTGAATCGCTTTGACATCAACACGCCGGGTGATGCTCGTGAAGCCCAACAACACCCATACCCAGCGGCAGCCAGCACGATGGGTCTGTCGTTTTACACCACATGCTCTTCAAAGGTCCGGTCTGCGAATCCCCAATTCCCATCCAGACCTCAGCGGCTTCGGGGAAGACCACCAAGATCTGGGTGCCGAAAGAAACCATGTATGGTGAATGATCGATTTCCCTGGATGGGGTGCCCTGTGCATTCCTAACGCTTAACTGGTACTGCAACAATTTATGGAAATGTATCTAGACATCCTGTCCACATAAATCTGTACAATCTTTTACTGGAACTTTGGGTGCTAATCCGGATGAGGGGCCCGATGCGACCGGGTCACATCAGGGTCACGGACTGAGCCCACGGAATGCAAAGGACTACGAACTTCATGCTTGAGACAGCCCTTTCAACAAAGCCTGGTGTGCACCTGGTACCTCTATTGTGTTGGGGTGTTGGTCTTGTTTGACCACATTCCGACGTGGCGGATTCAGTATAGGGAGGAATGCAATACAGCTGCCTTCTTTGACTCCAAGCATCACCAATCACACGAGCACTCTCATAAAAAAACATCATCTTCTTCTTCTTCTTCTTCATCTTCATCTTCATCTTCATTTTCTTCATCATCATCATCCTCGTCCTCCTCGTCGTCGTCGGCGGCGGCGGCATCGTCGGCATCGTCATCATGTCGAAGGCCCAAAGGACGCCCAATGGCTATCTGAGAATCAATGTGCAGTGTCGAACATACCAGGCTGGCACCCCAATCGCTCTCACTCAGGGACTCAGGGGCCATTGGCCCAGCCCACCATCTGCGCTCATCTGATCATTCCGACATCATCCTAGCACTTATCAGCAAAAAAATCCGACGAGTGGCCGATCTCGGTCTTCAAGGGCTTGAAGGGGTTCTCACAAACCTCCTGGAAGTTCTTGTCAGTGATCACCCAGCGTGTGCTGGCACGCACGCGGTTGATGCCTCAGTCGAGCGCTGACTGGCTGACTGGTGGATGCCAACACAACACAAGCCCAAACAAGTCCACTCACCACCACTCAACCAAATACATCCGGGAAAATTAACATGGAACTAGTTTCCTCTACAACCCAGTTGTTTTATGTTGTTTTCAGGTTCCACGTTATTCTTCCAGGGTGATCCAGGGTGTAGAATCAGATCTTCAAACTGTCCTCCAGACTCTTGAGTGTGCCAGACTTGGGAGAACAAAGTGGATGTGGTGGTGAAAAAAAATGCGGAACTGGCTTGCAGAATGAGCTTCGGAAGCTAAAATGTTTGGAATCTGCCTTTGGTGTCTGCCAATTTCGTTGACGTTCCTAAGCCTGAGCGGTTTGGGTTCAAACCGACTCCAACTCACGCGCAACTGCCCCACACTCTTTGAAGCTTTAAATTCAAGCGGGTTGTTCGGACAGGGTTAGGAGTGTCCCTACAAACGGAAGAAAGTCATTGCATCATTCTGGAATTTCTGGCTGGTTCTGCTCTGCCATTGAGTCTTTTTTCTTCTACATCACCTAAGCATCCTTGGCTCAGAAGGTCTTCTTCCTTTTCTGCCTTTGAGTCGTTGTGATCTCGTTCTGATCTCACCACCCGTGGACCCCCGCCGCGCCACGGCGGTGGTTCTGGTGCACCGTCACGCAGGGCGGTTGCAGCACCACTTGCCGAACGCCAGCGGCACGCAAGCGACAGTGGATCATGTCATCCGTCTGCCAGTTTTGCGCCACCTGGCACATCAGTGAAATCGGGACACTGATTTTTATGTTTACTGTTTTTTTGGCTGTCTTGGAGTGTCGGGAACAGAAACAAAAGGCATAATATCAATATCAGCCAAAAGGACAAAGGCAAAACTGGCGGAATTTGGTGGAGGAAAACGCATACTACCACCCAAAACAAACTGGTTGAGCAAATATGACCCTCCCAAAAGAGTCTGGAATAGTCTGGACTTCTTCACATCGAAACAGCCGGCTCTTGTTATCTGTTCCAACCACACAGTAACACCATCTAACACGTCAGAGCAATAGTTAGGGCATGCTTGGACCCAGAGGTCCCTATGAAAAACATTGAAAAATAAAAGGACCGGATAACCCCACATGATAAGTTTTACAAATTTCAATTGTATATGAACATCACATGGGAGACGGAGTAGTGAGATGAAAAGTCAAGAACGAAGTGTGAGGAGAGAAGGTATATGAGGCGGTTGTGCTAAGACGTGTAGTATAAGTGATGATGTGATGGACGAGGATGAGAAGGAGGGGAGGGAGGAGGTGTGTATGAGTGAGTGAGTGAGTGGAGTGAGTGAGTGGAGTGAGTAAGTGGAGTGAGTGAGTGAGTGAGTGGAGT